TAGGCGGTTTCTAGGGTGTTGTAGGTGGTTGCTAGGACGCCCTAGGTGGTTTCTAGGGTGTTGTGGATGGTTGCTAGGGTGTTCCAATGATGTTCTAGGTAGTTGCTATGCTGTCCTAAGTGGTTGCTATCAAGGTGGTCACTAAGGTGTTCTGATTGGTTGATAGGTGGTCCATTCTCAACTCTCTGATATTCTGGTTTCAGCTCCCTCCTTCAATGTACATCTGTGTTTTTTTCCACCTCTTTTTGCGCATTTTGAGCAAGTAAAATGGCAAAGATAACATCATGTAATGTCAGAGGTCTGTTTAAACTCACTATGAGCAGTAGTAATATTGATGCAGCCTTAGCAAAGTCCACTAACTATGGCTTTTCACAGCACAAACGCAGCTCTTTCACTTTCTCTCTCTCTGCCGCTCTTATATTCTCGCACTCCACTTCTTTTTCAGTTTCTCTCCGTCCTTGGCCATGATGAGAGCATGATTGAAGTGGCAAGAAGGTAATTGGCATTCTGGAACAATGATAATGACCTCTGAAGGGACTGTGCTGCCCCAGTGACAGCCACTCAGTTCTGATTTGTTTGGACAGTGCGTCGTTCTGTTCATTTCGCCCTCGCCATCCTCGTGCATTACAGGCCTTTGAAGAATAAACAGGCGTTTCGTGACAGGCTGGTCATTGGCTCCGGCTCAGATTAAGCAACGGGCCACCCGCACATGTGCCTGAGGGACTCCGATTACTCTCAGGCTTCAAACTCATCAAACAGACATTATGCATTATGAATAAAAATGAAAACTTTTTTGCAACCGCCTGTATTAGCATTCCCAGAAATTACAAAGCAAATTCTCGTCAGCACTCATAGGAAAGAAAGATGTGACCTGATTAGCATCGCAATTGTATTCTAGACAGCAATAAGATTAACTGAGAGGCAAATAAAGATCTCAACAGTGTCTCAAACTGTGCTCAAGTCTGAGAAGCAATCAAAAGTCTGAAGAAGATCTGTTTGTGTTCCACTAGCAACAGCAAGAGTCCACCCAAAAGTGCATTTTTTTTTCATCATTTACTCACCCTCATGTCGTTTTTTTCTTATGTTGAACATAAAAGAAGATATTTTAAAGAACCAAACAGTTGTTGGTCCGCAGTAGGGAAAATAATACTATGGAAGTCAATGGGGACCACCAATTGTTTGATTACCAGCATTTTTCAAAATGTCTTCTTTTATAAATGGAAGTAAATGATGACAAAAATTTTCATTTTTGGGTAAACGACCCCTTTAAAGAGGACTTATTATGCCCCTTTTTACAAGATGTAATATAAGTCTCAGGTGTCCCCTGAATGTGTCTGTGAAGTTTCAGCTCAAAATACCCCACAGATAATTTATTATACCATACTGAAAATGACCATTTTTAACAGAAGCGAAAAACATGCTGTTTTTTTGCATGTCTCTTTAAATGCAAATGAGCTGCTGCTCCCCACCCCCTTTTCCAGACGAGGATGGAGCCTCTACAGCTCATGCCTTGGATACTCCACCAAAATGAAACATCTGTTTGGTTTTGATCATTATTATGTCATGCGCACATGACATTGCAGTTTGTTTGACATCATGAAAGTTTATTATTTGCATGGTTTTAAAGCCATATCAGTTTAAACTTCTTATATACTGTTTTCTGAGCGCACATGTCTGAAATGATCGCACAGAAAGCTGGCTGTAACATGGTGTGTCATGTGAGTATTAAACGAAGTTCTCTTTGGCGTTATATTTTTTAATTATGGTGCTTAAACGGTCAAATACATAAAAAATAAAGTCAAAAACACATAAAATCGTTTATGTCTGTAAACGTAAACCAGGAAAGAAATCAAATGTTTATATTAGATCTGTGTGTTAAAATGACAGCAGCGTAATATAAGTATCTACTGCTGTCTATGCTGATATCAATCAAACAAGAAAAGAAAAACAGAAAATGACTCTCTTTTCTTGACTGAATAACTTCAGTAGCTTTACAAGAATACATTTCTTGCTTGAACACTGATTTGAAATGCTCTAGCGAGGAGATAAACATGTACAGCTCACTCAGGGGAGGAGCTAAGCTAATATAAGGCAGAGATAGGCTGCGTTCGAAATTGCATACTCTCTTGAGTACAATCGCAAAAAAAGTACGTTCTATAGCATGAATGTAATCTGGATGTACTGTATGCACCATATTGCCATTGTGACCTATCAGCTTCAGTTGCGTTGCGTCACTGCCATTCATAAATGCTCTCCCGTGGCCTTATGCGATTGTTAATTGTCCATCATATGCACATTTCAGAAATTCACTCCGGAAGTAGTAGGTCATCCTGGTACTTTTTGCCTACTCTTGTTTTGAGTACTGTGAATTCAGACATACATCTTTTGTGACACAGTGTTTTTCGCCTACTATATAGTAGGGAAGTATGCAATTTTGGACACAGCCATCGTTACCAGTTGTGGGCGGTGCTTGTTCCAGAATGACGTCACATTCTTGAACAGCTTTGAGACACTGTTACTGATTTATGGGGAAAATAACAAAAGTGGATGATTTTTTTGGTTGTGTACACACTGTAGTGCAGACACTTAACAATGTTCAAAAACAATATAAAAGTGCATTTTGCATAATAAGTACCCATTGAAGGTTCGATTTACAGGGAATGCATGAATTTGATCAAATGTATCATTTGAAAGCTCTAAAACTCAACCAAATGCATGAATGTAAATGTTGAGATCTCAAACATTTCTCATCATATTCTTCCATGATTAAATGATCTGAGCTGCTATTTGCATTAATTTTATTGGCTCATTTGTGTCATTGTGTCTAATGTGTCCTTTTTAGGAGAAACATCTGAGACAATGTTGAACTCATTTATTCAAATGTATGCACACCCAGAGAGATTGTCAGCCAATGCATCATGATATTGTTGCAGAATACCTATGCAAACGGTTTATTTACAGTGACTAAGCAGAAAGCAAGAAAAATGCTTTTCGTTTCATTGATTTGAATTTGAAATAAGACTTGCAATTGAACCGCTGTGCAAAAGTAACAAGAGAAACACTTTAAATGTTACATAGCAAAAGGTCAGACTCACCGTTTTTGTCAGCTCGACGGAAAATCTGTGAAGAGATAGAGATGAAAAATAAAACAGTCAATGGGCAATTTATCAACGTGAGCAGCATTCAGAAGCGTAGAGGACTGATGGAAATGCTCAGTGCTGATCAATACTGAATATAATTTAGCCTGAATGTCTTTAATGAACTGCCCCTTTAGAGCGTTACTGTGTTTCCTCTTCAACACTGATGGAATGTGACATTATAACTGAGATGCCTTTATAAAGCACAGAAACAAACAAGCCATGCTCTCAAAATCCATCCACATGCACAAACCACACACTTCTTACTGAGGCAATTGTTCAATTGCTATAGTGGCTCTATAACCATAGACTTTCACAAGGAGAGAGCCGAGCTGCATCCTGGGATGCTATTAAACAATATATTGGAGGAAAATGCATACTGCTCACTTCATGATGCTTTTCCTGCTTCATGATGATCTGCTCCAACTAATCCATAAAAATGTTCAATATAAGTTTGGGCTGGCAAGATTTTTGAATGTTTTTAAAGAAGTCTCAGTAAAAACAGCAATATTGTTAATTATTATCACAATTTATATGAACTGATTTCTTTGTGAATATCTGTTAAAATGTAATTAATTGCTGTGATGCGCAGCTGTATTTTCAGCATCATTACTCCAGTCTTCAGTGTCACATGATCTTCAGAAATCATTCTAATATGCTGATTTGCTGCTCAAGAAACATTTCTGATTATTATCAATGTTGAAAACAGTTGCGCTGCCCAATATTTTTTGTGGAAACTGTGATACATTTTATTTTTCAGGATTCACAGATGTTTCAGATGTTACATTATAAATGTCTTTACTGTCACTTTTGATCAGTTTAACGCATCTTTGCTGAATTAAAGTATTAATTTCTTTTTCTCTTGTATAAAAAAACTTTGTCCCCAAACTTTTGAATGGTAGTTTAGTTTTATAAATAAATGCATATGTAGGCACAATTTATGTTTGCCTAAAAACTAATTTCAAGCCTTTCAGCAGAAGTCTTTAATTGTGTAAAATGTTTGTAAGATCATAGAAACCATAACTTCTTCTGGTACACACAGACTCAAAATCATCATAATGGAGCAAATGGTTGCTGTATATCCTCAAGGGCAACTAATCCTGTTAGCCGTCAAAGTCTCTTGAGCCATTTTTTTTTACCACTCCTGCTTCTTCCACTGGCTCCTCAGGCCGATAGCGCAAACATATCAGATTGTGAAGGTCTGAGACTCAGTTCAGATTCAGGGTGAGACAGTTTGACTGTGAGGATTATGTAGGTGTTGACAGTACAATCATCTAGTGGCTAAACATGGCTCTTTCACACCTGGACGGGTCGCCACACTGTTTTAAAGTTGTTGGTTTTTTGACTCCTGTTTTTTAGTAGGGTTGTGACGGTGAGGAAATTTTCCCACCGGTTAATCGACGTGTTTTTTGTGGAAACTGTGATACATTTTATTTTTCAGGATTCACAGATGTTTCAGATGTTACATTATAAATGTCTTTACTGTCACTTTTGATCAGTTTAATGCATCTTTGCTGAATAAAAGCATTAATTTCTTTTTCTCTTGTACAAAAAAACTTTGTCCCCAAACTTTTGAAAGGTAGTTTAGTTTTATAAATAAATGCATATGTAGGCACAATTTATGTTTGCCTAAAAAGTAATTTCAAGTCTTTCAGCAGAAGTCTTTAATTGTGTAAAATGTTTGTAAGATCATAGAAACCATAACTTCTTCTGGTACACACAGACTCAAAATCATCATAATGGAGCAAATGGTTGCTGTATATCCTCAAGGACAACTAATCCTGTTAGCCGTCAAAGTCTCTTGAGCATTTTTTTTACCACTCCTGCTTCTTCCACTGGCTCCTCAGGCCGATAGCGCAAACATATCAGATTGTGAAGGTCTGAGACTCAGTTCAGATTCAGGGTGAGACAGTTTGACTGTGAGGATTATGTAGGTGTTGACAGTACAATCATCTAGTGGCTAAACATGGCTCTTTCACACCTGGACTGTTTTAAAGTTGTTGTTTTTTTGACTCCTGTTTTTTAGTAGGGTTGTAACGGTGAGGAAATTTTCCCACCGGTTAATCGAC